GATGCGCCTGCACCGGAGCTCATTGCCTGTGCGAGTGACAGTTGGTGGTGGTTACACCTCATTTAAATCGGCCACCGTTGCTCCTGGCCCTGCCCACACCTCATCACCTGCCCTCGTAAGGGCGTAAGAGCTGGTCTCTGCGCTCCTCTGTGGGTTCCCCACCTCAGGAAACCTCCTGTACACCCACGATCCGCGCTCCACTGCAGGACGCACCTGCACCGGAGCTGATCGCCTCTGTGAGAGTTTGTCATGTGTTGTCTCTGCCACTCCTTCCTCCCTCATGCTCTTCCCCTGCTTCAGCGTGGGGCCCTTCCCACTGGAGACAGTCCTTCACAAAATTCTCCAACGTGTTTCCTTCCCACAGGTGCAGTTCTTCACAAACTGCTCTAGTGTGGGTCTTTTCCATGGGGTGCAGTCCTTCAGGAACAGACTGCTCCAGCGTGGGTCCCCCACGGGGTCACAAGTCCTGCCAGCAAACCTGCTCCAGCATGGATTCCTCTCCATGGGACCACAGTTCCTGCCAGGAATCTCTTCCAGCTCTCCATGGGGTCACAGCTTCCTTCAGGGCACATCTACCTGCTCCGGCATGGAGTCCTCCATGGGCTGCAGAGTGGTTATCTATCTGCTCCACCATCAACCTCCATGGGCTGCAGGGGGACAACCTGCACCGCCATGGTCTTCACCACAGGCTGCAGGGCAATCTCTGCTCCAGCGCCTGGAGCTCCTGTGCCACCTCCTCCTCCTTCTTCACTGACCTTGGTGTCAGCTCCTGTGGTGCCACCTCCTCCTTCTTCACTGACCTTGGTGTCTGCGTAGCTGTTTTCTCTCACATATTCTCATTCTTCTCTCCTAGCTGCTGTTGCACCGCAGTTTTTTACCTCTTCTTAAATATGCTATCAGAGAAGCGCTACCAACATCACTGGTTGGCTCAGCTTTGGCCAGTGGCGGGGCCATCTTGGAGCCAGCTGGAACTGGCTCCATCTGACATGAGGACAGCCTCTGGCATCTCCTCACAAGAAGCCACCCCTAGAACCCCTTCTACTACCAAAACCTTGTCACATAAACCAAATACACTATATATATAAATGACTGAAGGGAAGGTACAAAGAAGACAGGGAAGATGCAAAGACGACTCTTCTCAGTGGTGCCAAATGACAGGACCACAGGCAATGGGCACAGGCTGAAACACAGGAGGCTGTGTCTGAAACATCAGGAAACACTTTTTTACTGTGAGGGTGACTGAGCACTGGAACAGGTTGCCCAGAGAGGTTGTGGAGTCTCCTTCCTTGGAGATATTCAAGAGCCATCAGGACATAGTTCTGGGCAACCTGCTCTAGGTGACCCTGCTTCAGAAGGGTGGTTGGACAAGGTCACTTCTAGTGGTCCCTTCCAACCTCAACCATTCTGTGATTCTCCAAAAGACTTTTTACAAAATAACTTTTGCCACAGTTGCTATGCTCTTCCAGGATAGCAGAAAAGGGGTGCTTCCAGTGCATGCCCATGATCAAATGCATAAAGGAGGCTTTTAAATTTTTAGTCAGTACTCTTTTGTCATAGATCACCTTCTGCATCTTCCAAAGGGGCCTTGGTTTCTATTGCCCACTTCTGCTTGTTCCTGGTGATACAGTGCTGCTCTATCACAATCTTTTTAGGGTTGTCGCTGTCTAGATTTACACTGTAATCCAACATGAGATCCCTCAGTGCCTCAAAATTGATCTTGCCTCTGCTTGTTGCATTTAGAGTGATGCTTTTAACCTCTAAATTACACTTTTCTCTAGACTGCAAGAAGCTCTAGGATTTAGGGCCTGATGATAAAAACTCCACGATATGCTCATCTGGCAGACACTTGCCCATCAACTCACTGAGCAGGGGGGTCCCAGTCCCCTGGATGACTCACAGATATCACAGAGGCTGTGTCAAGATAAATGCAAAGGTCTTGCAGGGCACCTGAGAGATTGTAAAGCTCTAGGTGTGCATATGCGGTTGTGAAGTAAGCTAGAGAAATGTTAGTATTATACTCCAGGGTCATGTACCCTTTGGCGTGGTTCCATGAGACAGTGGCCACATCCTCATCAATAAAAGCAGAAGAGGACATATCATAAGCTGGAGAAAAGAGGTAACCATACAACTCATCTGGTTGTCTTACAATGTTGATGTTGAGTAGGTCGGATCTCTGTCCAAATTTTCCCCACAGAGAATTTAAAAACAGTTTTGCCATTTGGAGTTTCACAGGGTTTTTCTTACTATGTTCAGGCCACAAAATGACGTCTTCTTTCTGCCTGTCAAGTTTCAAGTTTCAAGAAGTTTCATGTGGTGAATAATGCCTGATGTAAATTAATAACTTGGTATCCTTCTAGATATTGTCTAGCTCCAAACCTCTGGATCAGCCAGTCCCACTGCCTGATGTGCTCAATGGAAGCCATGAGGTGGACTTCTGCTTCCTCTGCCCCTGCTGTATTTGAGGGTGGGGGCCAAAATGGACTCTCAAATGCTCCCTCAGGACTTGGGAGTGCATCAGGAAGCCTCCACAGGGAAACATCTTCATTGTGTTGGGAGGGAGGGAGGGAGGGAGGGAAAGAGAAAGATGCAGCATGTCCTCACGCAAGGAAAGCCCTTGGGTGACTGGATTGCAGGGCTAGGAGCAGCTGGGCTCCTTCCTGTCAACACAGCCATATGAAACCCCACCAGTGTGCCCCAGGCCAACATCATTTGCCTGCACTGCACCCATCCGGCACTTGAGCTGAGTATTCTGCTGGCACTGACACATTCCTGCCCCAGAAATCCTGGCGTCTCTCGATCCCAGCACTCAGAAGAAGCCTCCGTGAGGGAATGGGTATGGCATAAGCCAGGAAATGAACAGGTAGTGTTGGGAAAAACAACCACCCAGATCATGTCATTAGCTGTCATTTTCTGTTCATCATGAGCACCTTAGAAAATTGCCACTTCCATAGAAGCTACCTCTAGGCCTGGGGCAGTGCAGGGCCACCATAAAAGCCAGCCCAACTCCTTGCTCTCTCATGCAGTTCTCTTGCCTCTTTCTCCTTGCAAACCAGGTGAGTCTGAAGCCCTTTCCTCACATTCTTTTTCCGATCATGCAGATGTGTACTCCTCCATCCTGTGCTGAGTCGTGGTGCTGCTTGTCATGGGAGAGGGAAGAAGGGTGAAGGTCTGACTCATAGAGCGTCTCGCACTCGTCTGAGGACGCTCTTCATTGAAGAAATAGTCAGCAGCCTTGTTAGGCCTGGCAACACTTTACAATACTATGTCTGGATGAGGCCAAAACCCCTTTTGCCTCACTGCTCAGTTTCTACCTCCCAGCTCAGCAGGTGCCTTTGACACGCTCGCAGTGGGGTGATGGACTCATGGAAAACTGTTCCTCACATGTCTCTGTGCTCTGCTTCCTCTCTACCCTCTCTCCCAGGTGCACCTCTGGCCCAGAGACATGTCCTGCTACAACCAGTGTCTGCCCTGCCAGCCCTGCGGCCCAACCCCACTGGCCAACAGCTGCAATGAGCCCTGTGTCAGGCAGTGCCAGGACTCCACCCTCGTCATCCAGCCCTCTCCCGTGGTGGTGACCCTGCCCGGCCCCATCCTCAGCTCCTTCCCGCAGAACTCCATTGTGGGCTCCTCCACCTCTGCTGCTGTTGGCAGCATCCTCAGCTGTGATGGAGTGCCCATCACCTCTGGGTGCTGTGACCTCTCCTGCATTCCCAGCCGCTACTGTGGCAGCAGATGTCCCCCCTGCTAAAGCCACTGGTGACAGCCCAGATGAGGACCCCCAGGAATCCAGACCTAGATTCTGGATTGAGGACAGAGCTCCTGGCCATCGATTTCAGAGATGCTGAGCATTCAGTGCTGCCCTTCCAAAGGAGGGCACCTGGGGCTTTCTGAAAACATGACCAGTCTAACTTCCTTGCCTTCCACTTTCTCCCATCTCTTTCTTGTCTTCTGTTCTTCTGGGCTGTAAAACCCCCAGAGCCAACCTGGGGGATCTGCTGACCCATGTAGCAGGCAGATGGATGCCCTGTGGGATCTCCACTGTGGGTGATGGGCACAGACTTTTGGCAGCTGCTAGTGCTCTCCCTGCTCTGGCTGCTTCCACTACAAGTGAACTCGTTTCCCTCTTCAGAGTCATTAAAGTTTTCCGCATTTCAGCCTCTGCCTCCACATAATCCTTCTTTGGTATCGTCTCGAGTTGTCAAGGAAGAAAGGCATTGTCCTGGGCGGTAGGAGGTAAGGTGGGGGCACAAGCAGACCTTTCACCATTCACAGAGGAAGGGGAGGGTGGGAAACAGGAGAATGGGTCCCTTCCAGTCACTGTCTCTTGGAGCTAAGGAAGACATACTCAGCTCCTCCACAGCCAGTGGTGATCAGGCCCTGCATTCTGGCATCAAGCCTTTGACATGGTCCCCCGCAACATCCTTCTCTCTAAATTGGAGAGATATGGATTTGATAGCTGGACTGTTCAGTGGATGAGGAATTGGTTGGATGGTTGCTTCTAGAAGGTAGTGGTCAACAGCTCAATGTCCAGATGGAGATTGGTGATGAGGGGCATCCCGCAGGGGTCCGTATGGGGACCGGTACTGTTTAATATCTTCATCAGTGACATAGACAATGGGATCGAGTGCTCCCTCAGCCAGTTTGCAGATGACACCA